CAGCCCACAAAAAATGTCAACTCTATCCATATTTGATCTAGGTTCTACATCATCTCTCAACTTTGGTAAACTGAGATGGAGAAGAAGTCCCTCTTTTCACAAAACGAATCCCCTTTGAAATTGCTTGGTACAGGTTGGTAGTTGGAAACTATGCAACAGTGACACCGTGGCGACCCGTTAGGTCAATGTTATATAGTGTGACCCATTCAGGTCAAGTCGTGTGGTCGGGAGAGTCCCATTTTAAGATAGAAAATCAGGTAGTGCCTTCAGCCATGAATGATCTATTGAGTAATTCTATTGAAGTGAATTGATTAAAGCAGTGAAACTTCATGTTCTGCTAAATTCATTTTGTGTGAACAGAGAAAATTCTTCAAGTCAAGTAAGTATTTGAATGTCAGTTATTGCCACCCTGAGATTTGAAATTTTCCCTTAAGAAAAAAGTTCACGACATAAGGTCATTGCACTAAATGTTTTGTATTTTTTGTAAAAAAATTGATAACTATATAATTGCATATTTTTTCTAATAAAATCTTATATCGAACATCATGTACTACAATTAGTTATTAGTTACTAAGTCTTTCCCTTCATTTATTTATTACTATTTTTTTTTTGTATGTCAAACATTTGCTGTGGTCCAATTTTTAATCTAAACATTTTCTTAACAATTAACTAATTCTCTCAGACGTACCATGATTTATGAGACCATACTATCAAAATATCCACTAAAACCTGAGCATAAAAAACTTCTATATATATAAATATCACATTAAAGTATCTGAGAGTGGAGGAATATGACCCCACCCAAAAAATCATTGAAGGAAAAAAAGTACACTACATTATGTTTTGCCATTTTGTAAAGAACAAGTGTATTTGATTGGGTGATTTCATCTTTTTTCTTTTTGCGTGCAAAACCTTACGTGAATAATACCATAATGAGTAAACACTTACTTGACCTTTTTAGAAATGCCAAAATGGACTCGGTGACACATGTAAAAGACTCCACTTACGCAAGTCTAAATGACCTTTTTCATTCTTGCATAAGATGAAATCGCTATGGGGCAATCTGACGCATTTATCCCATATAAGACGTCAATTAAGGTGAAAAAAATATTTAAAAAAAAAAGAAAGAAAGGAAGGTTGGGTTTTCAGAGGTAAACAGAAAACAGAGTTGGGTAAATTTCTTTTTATTATTACTTTTTTCAATTCTAAAGTCAATTCCTATGTCCAAATCAAATTATTAAAAGGGAGAGCTATCAAACATTTAAAATGAGATTCACTGCAAGAAGTTAAAATATAGTGGCAGACAAATTGGACAGTCTATCTTCGTACAGATGATAACCAATTTCCATCGACAAATATCTCCCTGTCACCTTGCAAACAAACGATAACCACTATTTGACCCTCGTTTTTACATGAAGTCTTGTTCATATCATTTTCAGTAAATGTGAGTACAACTTTGATAACAAAATTATTTTGCAATGCACAGTGAATGAGAGCCATACAAAGAGAGCCGTCTTCATAATCTGCAAGACCCTGCAGGCATATTATCTACAGAGTAATCAGATGAACTAGAAGCTATCCATATAAATTTCACCATCATAGCACAGCAACTTTCCACAGAAAAAAAATTTTTTTCGCTCACAGATATTTAGCTAGCTAATTCTGTGCACATTTCTGTACAGTCCAGTTCAGTGAGGATCATTATGCACAGAATTTTAAAAAATGACATCATGTGTGACATCATCACCCAGCTGCAGTCACTCATCACTAGCTGACTTCACAAAAGAACTTTTTACTACAAGTCAATAGCTCGAAAGTGTCAAAACTAAACGACCACAAAATTCTAGACAGAGGGACAGAATTTTCAAAAGGCCAAATGACAGGCTGTAGCCTTGCATTTGAAGGACTTTATTTTCTCAGTTTGACAACTGATGTGAGGCCACTTTCAATCATTTTTCCTGCATCATGGGATAAAGCTGGTCAGCAATGACAAAGAAGGAATTAACAATGATAATCAGTGAGAAAGAAAAGTCATTTTATCTGCATGGTGAGATTATTATGGTAAGAAATGACAATTAATTTAAGAGTGCGTTTTTTTTCTTGAATAGTGACTGCTTTACTGAGTATGTACTACAAGTACCCCAGTAAGCCTAGTTAATTTAATTTCACCTTCACTGCCCAGCGTGGCAGGTGATACGAACTAAATCACAATGGCAGTGTATGGGACATTAAGGGTTAGATTCAAAGGGGCTCCCTAAGGGTGCTTTCCCAGAGATTTAGATCGATCTAGAGATTAAGATTAAGATTGACCTAACTCCCTGGGTGTTCACGCTAAATTGCAGTCAGCCGAGCGGGCACCATAGTTAATTACCCCCTTACAGCTTTTAGTAGGCGGGACAGACGCTTAAGCCGGCCAAGCTGACAGTAATCTAGTGAGACTCCCCACAGGGATAGATCGATCTAAAAATCTATGGAAATGGGGTCTAAGATTAGAAATCATTCACACGTTATTATCTACATAGATAATATGGTACTAAGTTAAGCTGTCACAGAATAAACTGTAAATGCATCTTTTATGTCCTAAATTACATGCACTGCACTAAGTCTAACAATCATTTACCAGCATGTGCCCACACAGAATCTTCTCTTTCCTGCAGCAGTGAATTTCCGTACAAGTATTTTCAAATAATTTGACATCATTATAAAAGTGTTGTTGAGAGGCTAATGGATTTTCTTTTCACGGTCATTCATTTCATGCTGATTCGGAATAAAACTATCACTCTACCGTAAATAGAATGATCCAACTCCGCAGGGATTCTTGCTCAATGCAATCAGATTAACCGATGGACATGCCTCCTCTTCTGTTTCCAAAATACACGCATAATCCTCAGCTTTTCTGTAATGTACTCAATGCCAAGAGGAGGCGTGTTTATCTATTGCATTCAGCAAGAGTCCCCTCAAGAGTTGGGTCAATCTATGTAGAAAAAGCATTTTATTGAGAATAAGCCCTGATATTTCACGCAGAGATGAAAGCAGCAATGAAATGAAATTCCCTTAGCTGATAGAAGTTAATGGAAGAATGAAGTATGTTTTATTAAATCTAAGTTCACAGACTAATATAAAATCACTTTCATTTTGGTGTTAAAAAGTTTTTGTCACAACTACAGGAAGAAGACACTTGGCTGAAACTCCTGCTAGGCCACCTACATGTACTGTTCATTGTGCAAACGGCTATTAGATTATAGGGAAACTTTCCAGCATGCAGTTGCACTGCAATTAAGTCTGAATATTGATCTGTAGTAAAAACATACTGCTTTCTGAGGTTATTTCCGATTCTTTTTTTACCCTGGTTTCAATATCTATACAATAATATTTTTTGCAAGAGAAAAATTCACTATTGCCTTGGAACAATTCACTTTAGTCCTTTATGAAACAAGAGTGGAGCCAACTGTGCAAAGGAGATATGTTTGTTTGAATGGTGTCAATTATTAAGCACACAATGTTCTACATATCTCTGACAGTGTGAAATATTAACTATGATGGTATGATTTATCTGTACTACATGTACATGGCTAGTGACATGGTTAAAGGTATTCTATCCAAGATTTTTCTTCTTAATTGAATTTTCCTAATAAGAAAGCAATATTTTAATACTTATGAATCATTACTCAATACATCCATGAACTTGTATTGAATGTTTTTTTTACCATTTTTTAAAATTAAATTATGAAATTCTTAATGACTGATCAGTTACTTATTATTATTTTTTAGCTCTGACTTGAGACATCTTTTATTTATATTAAATTAAAATTAAAGGAAAGAACATGGCTTTCACACCTTCCATGGTGGCAAAAATATTTGTGGCTTGGTACTTGTGGATATGATGATATTGTGACCATGAGGTAAATTCACTGTCAACAACCATGCCTGCTTGTTTTCTGTCAATGCCGGAGGAGTCAACATAAAATAGATACTATCATTTATCTACTCCAAAAGCAGTCTGGCATGTTTGTTGAAAATGATTTATTTATTGACCACATTAAGATGCTATTTCTGTTTTCACAAACGGCTGTCAGTAATGGCCACACCTGGATAAGTTATGTAATGAGTGTAATTAACCTTCCTATACTCTGGTTAACCTGTTCACTTAAGAAAGCCAACAACAAACATGTCCTATTCTTCTCTTCCATTACAAGCTAAAAGTTGGAACTTAAACTGATCCCACAGGCTTTTAACATAAAACCCTGGGGCCATTACACATTGTGTATAATGGGTCCGAGACAAAACCAGTGACATTTAATGAAGTCTTCCTACATGTCTTTCATTAAACATATAACAATAGAAGAGCCCTATTCTATTTCACTTATAAACTCAACTTCAGAAAGAAGACACTTGATTGCAATTTCTCGTGTAATCTCTTGAAATCATCTGAGTAGACTGCTTTATTGGAAGAAGATGAATTATACTTGAAGTGATTGCAATCAGGCTGCGAGCAACAGACTCCAGGCATCCATCTTTAAATCTTTTTGTCAAAACTGATAAGATCATGACTTTGGTCAAAGTCTCTGGTACATTTGTATCTGTCACTGCCAGAGACATGCATGGGAACAACAATGTAAAAATGGAGGACAGCACTTTTCCACCTAATATGTTACACAAAATGCAACATCCTAAACTCCCTATTGAATATCATACTGCCCTTTTTGCATGTTTGCTGATGAATTAGTTACCATATACATATTTACAGATTATATTATATTATATTATATTATATTATATTATATTATATTATATTATATTATATTATATTATATTATATTATATTATATTATATTATAAAATTTACACTCTCCATAACATGTGTCATGGGGAAGATAAATTTTAAATGTCCATATTTTACCCCCAATTATTAAAGTTTAATACTGTAAATAAATAAAACAGAGTGAAGCTTCCAAAAGTAAAAGAAGCTCTCACCCTTATATTGCACATTCTCATGATCTCAGTTGATACAGGAAAAAGCCATCAACATTCAGCTGTTTTCACCCAACAGTCCAAATCTGGTCTTGTATCTTGTTATGCCATTATTTACAACATATATCATTTCAAATAATCTTACTGGAACTAGTTTTTACCCACTTCATTTGTCAAGTGACTGACAGTACTTCAAACAATATAAAATGGTGATGAAGCAATACAAGATTTAGCAATTTCTTTCATCTGGAGCTTCTATGTAATTTTATAAATTGTTGAAAGAGAAAGTAGTTAAAAAATTGACTATATTTTTATATTTATTAATACTGAATATAAATGAATTATAAAAGAGTGTCAACCCTTAAAAAAAAAAAATAAATAAATAAATAAAATAAAATAATAATAATAAAGCAAAAGAATTAGAAATAAATTATCAAAAATTTGCTAAAACTTATAAATAAAATAAAATTATAAATGCTTTTTGAAGTTTTTATGTCAAATGTTTGGGCTTACAGTACACTTACCAATTTTTTGTAAAAAAAAAAAATTAAATTAAAAATGAATACCATGGTATGCCCATTAATTAATTAATTAATGTGTATTGATCAATTCTATTCCACATCGAACAAATTGTAGAGTAAAGAGTGAACATTTTTTTTGTCTGTTTTAGTTAAGTAGTCATACATGTAATTTTTGAATAAAAATGTATCCAATCTGGGATTTTCCTGCCAAATAAACGTGTAATTCTCTCCAAATCATGCACCATTGCTCAGCCCTGTCCTTGCACTTGGATTTAATGTTTCGTACCATTTAAAAAAAATAACTAATTAATGATCTCTAACTTAGGCCTTTTCCGATTCTTTTTTATTTGAGGGGTTTAATGGTTTTTAAGGTCTGAATTGGAACAGAGAAGTACTAGTAGCTTTGGAGGATATATAGAAAATGTGGCTTTGGGGCATTTTCACAGTTTACCTTTAAATTTGTTTTAGCCATATCTCAAGTTTAAAGAGGACATTTTCAAGTTCCAAATGTCGGGTGCGCTTCGCTATGCCGAAGGTTCGCTGTGCCGAGGGTTCGCTATGCCGAAGGTTCGCTGTGCCGAGGGTTCGCTATGCCGAAGGTTCGTTATGCCGAGGGTTCGCTGAGCCGAAGGTTCGCTATTCCGCTACGCCGATTGTTTTTAAAAAGATGTTAATTTTACACACACCCAATAACTACAACAAGTTCGCCAAAAATAATTAGAGAATGTTTTCTTGTCAGTAATTTCCTAAATGTGGGTGACGCCCATAGTGCCAAAAATAATTAATAAATTAACTTACAGAACTGATTATTTANGGTTCGCTATGCCGAAGGTTCGCTGTGCCGAGGGTTCGCTATGCCGAAGGTTCGTTATGCCGAGGGTTCGCTGAGCCGAAGGTTCGCTATACCGAGGGTTCGCTATGCCGATTGTTTTTAAAAAGATGTTAATTTTACACACACCCAATAACTACAACAAGTTCGCCAAAAATAATTAGAGAATGTTTTCTTGTCAGTAATTTCCTAAATGTGGGTGACGCCCATAGTGCCAAAAATAATTAATAAATTAACTTACAGAACTGATTATTTAAAGCGATTTAAGATGTTTATGTCCATAAGGATAAACCTTCAATGCGCAGTTTTAACAAATTCAAATGGTACGGATGGAAGAAGAGAACTTTTAAAACTCGTTTATTTTCAAGAAAGGCCACTGCTCGCCACGTTACATAACAAGCACAATGGGTGATGGGTAGCCTTTTTCGGCGCAGCGAACCCTCGGCACAGCGAACCATCGGCATAGCGAACCTTTGATTTTGGGGCTCCGGAAAAACTTAGCCAATTTTAGACCAATTTTCCGGTTTTGTCGGCACAGTGAACCCTCGGCACAGCGAACCTTCGGCACAGCGCGCTGTCCCCCAAATGTCCATATCACCCCAATTACATTTAAGTCAAAAGCACTGGTTCCTGAAACGCCCAGAATTTTAGGTAATTTTAGTTTGGTTTTTAAAACTGATATCCTCCTCCTTAATTTCATTTCATAAGCATTTATGAATGCAATGCCAATATTTACTATTTATCAAATGTTCCCATTTCTACCACAATATAGCTTTGTAAATAGATTTTGTTGTTGATATTACGTAACTATATGTTTATAGTTTCAAGTACCCATTTCCCTACTATATATAATATACACATAGCCTTTTCATTAGATTTTGCACTTATAATTATGTAATCATAAATTGCTAAAATTACTATGCTGCATATACCTTGTACTGTTTATTAGGAGACAAAATAGGTTATCTCCCAAAGCCATAGTGCCAGCTACTATACTTAGATCTAATCTATATAAGCTTCAAGGGTTAGGCTAATTATTTTTCAGTCTTAAAGGTGAAGATTTAAGAGCCAGGTCATAAAGTAACTCATGTGACTTTGAATCATTGTTATAAGGGGGAGGTTTCTTCCACAGGTCTAGGAATAGAACCAATATTTACCAGCCCTTGTCTTAATGTTAACATTTCTTTATTGCCTACTGGTAATCATTTGCCACTGACTTGAACTTTCTAATGTGGTGAAATGGAGTTGTTGTAAGGTCACTATACCCGGTAGATGCAGTAAATACAATAATGGCCTTAGTAAACAGCCTGCCCCCAAAATATCAAAATCAGATTTTAAACTGGTTGAACATGCAATACAAGACTTTCAACTTTTTTTTTTATTATTTTATTTTATAAAAATTCTCTCTTTTCTTTTTTTTTGGTTTTAATAAAATAAAGTACAACTAAAATTTTAACTCTAATTTTTAATTTGTCTTTTCAATACATTATAATTATTTAATCATTCTTTTCACATCTTAATATTTAACCATTTTATGATAAAGATTTTATATTTCAATTTGATGTGCTCCCACAGAAACATGGCAATTTCTTATGTACAATTTTATGTATAATTATTAGCTTAATAAAATATTATATAGCTACTACTGGGCCTTTCATAACATTTCATTTATTCTTTTAAATTGCCTATAATTATGGAAATGGAAAAAAAGGAAAAAAAGAAAGCAAAATTAAAAAAGAAAAACAAAAAAAAAAGAAAAAATAATAATAAAACTCACCGTAAATTTTGCCCTTGCCTCCATGACTTCAAATCCTTTGATTGGAGCCTGCAGTTCAAACACTGCATTGTCCGACTCCTCTCGATTCTCCTGTAGTCGCTCACTTTGTGAATGAAAAGCATCACTGCGGGGCCTGTACTCAACTCCAGATGCCATGGCCCTTAATTCTGGTTCCGATTCTTTAGAGGACCTACTCTCACCATCCCCTGCCGTTAACAGGGGGTCGACCTCGGAGTCCAACCCCCCACCGGTGGCGCCCTGACTCCCCTCGCTCTCCGAACCTGTCCGTGACATGATTCTCCTTGGCTTAACGGACTCTGATCTTGATGATCCGCTGTAGCCTAGATCGAACTGCGGCTTAAAGCCTGCCGGTCTCAGCACCGTTGCTTTGACTGCGACAGTCTGTTGCGTGTTGTCAGCTGCGGGTTTTATTTGATCAATATCATCACCAGCTGATTGGCTTTTCGCCGCGCCATCTGTCGTTGAACTCGGACATGTGCTAGCTGCGTTACCTGTGCTGGCTTCCCGCCTGTAAATGCTGTGTGGAACAAAAGCTGTCGTCATTTTAGATTAAAAATAAGTTTCCTCGAATAAAATATACACAGCTGTATAAAAACAGTACTAGTTGCCACGTTTAGCACAGTCTTGAGAAGCTAGACAAAACACGATGTTTACTTTGTCTTCTTTCACATAACAAGTCTACTCTTAGACTACAAGATCCGTGTCCTCGTTTAAACTTGCTGCATGTCCCTACTGGGTCAATTTGGTTGAATTACCGAGACAATGATGTATTTTTCTGTCACGAATCCGACTGATCAAAACCTCGTATCTTGGTGGTAGTCATAATTTCCGTGTTGGAGGAATATAAGAGTTAGTCACCCTCACACGGCAACCATGGCTTCTCAGACAAAAAGGTAATCAACACTAATCACAATGCTACAGGTGCGACAGCAGGTGCGCACTTCAACTGGCGGCGCAACAACTGCAATCACAAGGAATTCTCCTTCCAAAACAAAAAGCCCACAAAAATATTAGAACAATGCATTAAGCGAGCCAAAATGTTCCAATTTTACAAGTGGACTAAAGTACATAAAAGACGCTTATTAAAAGGATAGATCAAACAAACATTTAAGTAGGATGCAAATTCATATGGATTCTATTGTAGGCTTTGGTTCGAAAGATCAAATTGTTTTAGGGAAAAGGCATAACAAGTGGTAATTGAACCATTGTTTTCGATGTTCTTGGTCTATATTTTTTCATTTGGAGTTCAAACAAAACCAACACTCCATGCACTAATTGAAAATGTCTTTCTTTCATCTGCAGACACTGCTACTTTTTAAATCCCACAGAATATTTCAATATTCTTAAAAGAAGGAATAGTATAAAAATAGCACTGGTGCTGAGCTTATGATCACTTATGTGCCTACATTTAATGACATATAGAGGGTTTCTTTCCATGGATTTTTGGTCCTGAAACCCAAGATTTTTAGGTAAATGAAAAAAAAATTAAAAACAACTATTTCAAGAAATAATTAGGCCACCATTCAAACTTGAACTGTTATTTGGTCCAATTAATTAATAGAATATGAGTTTGAGGATAACAAGTAACATGCTTTTCCTTTTAGTGTTAAAAATGGCAGTGCACAAAAAAAAAAAGGGTTTTTGTCAAGTTTGGTGCAATATCACATAATACTCAACAGCATATATAATCACCACCAATTTTAAATTATGCACTGTAACTGTGAACAACCTACACTGCATTTCTTCAAAGAAAATGGTCAAATAAATTTGTTGAACTTTAAGTGTATTGTATCTTTATGAATCACTCAAGTAATTTTGAAGAGATAGGTCACATATTTATCCACTTATTGCGTTAATTGTGAGATGTGCTTTTTATAAAGTGGCACTAACTTACTTAATTCAGTTATTCACTATGTTCCTACTAGCAGAAATTTGCAAACAGTAGATTAACTGTTATCGAAACCTGTAAAAATGTGTCTTAAAACTTATGGGGACATCTTTTTGTAAGTCAGCTGGTCCAATGAAATATGTTACCAATTTATATTCACATAATTTAATCAAATGATAACTTTAAGAAGAAGTTAAAAAAAAAAAACATCTTTTTAGGAAATTTTGTTCATGATTATCTTATTCATAATTGGTTTTTATGTGTATATCTTGCATCTTAATTTTTTGCCATAATTTACTTTTATATCTTGGGAATTGTGGTATCAAGTACTGGTATTTGTTTTTACATGAGTCTACTGAATATTTTATAAAATATATTTTTATTTAAGTGCATGATGATGACAATAGCAGACAAAAGTAATGACTTTACGTGCAGACACGCTGTCTGTAAAATAAATAAATAAATAAATATAATAAAAAAATATAATAAAATAAAACAAAATAATGATAATAAAATTTAAAATTAACAAGAACAAGACTTCTCAGTTTCTACTTCTTTTATTGCAGTTAACCAGAAACAAAAGTGTAACAATAAAGTTGTAAAGAAACTGTTTTTTTCTATAACAGCAACATTTTCCAATTAAGCAATGATGATTAAACTCAAAACATTTGGCAATTCATCAAAACTTCGGTGAACATAATTGCCTTCAGCTCTGTGCGCAACATCTAACAAAGCTTTAAAAGCACATTCTAATCTAACACTAATACTGGGTTATTCCTTAATAGTCTAGGAATACATTTCTCCCTAAAGGCAGAGGCAAATTATTGGTGCCAAATAATACAATTTTTTTAAAAATTCTCTTAGAAATGAACTTCCACATTTTCCTAATCTGCCAGCCCATCAATGCCCAACCTCTACTTTATTTTATCCACTCATTCAAATCATAAACAAGCTTTCTAGTTAACTAAAAAATATTTTTTCCTTTTCATAACACATGCAATTTATAACTTTTAAATTTGATATACTTAATTCACAAAATTTGCTTTATTTTGATCCAAGAAATTTGTCCTTCATGAAATAGCAAATGGCATCAAGGAATTGCACATTGCATACATAATATGTACATGGCACTGGTACATGGCATGGTACTGGGGAGTATTTGAGCCCAGACCAAGGCTGTTGGCAAATCAATGTAGTTCAACATTGGTGGATCCATTTTTTAGGGAGGGGGTGGGTAAGGCAGACTCATAATTTCACCTTTGTGTTTTTCCTAGTGAAGATAAATTTCTTTAACTACAAGAAAAAAAAAAAAAAAAAAAAAAAAAACAATATCATAATCTATTATCATAATGTATTCTTGTTGAGAAAATCTTTAACTTTTCACTTCTAACACAAACTTTTTGATATCACAAATTCAATTCTTAGTTCATTTCTGACCTATCCTGAAATGTTATCAAAATCCCTCCATGACATTTTGACATTGTCTGCAAACTAACAGTGCAACAAAGGCAAAAACTAAACCTCTTTGTCAAAGGTTATTTTCCACACCCTCACCACAACCACCCATGCAAGTTCTAACACATTACACAATGAATGCAAAACATATTTTCTGAAAATATTGGGTTGACAACCAATTAATGCTCCATTTACAATGCAAAAATCCAATTGTTGACCTTAGTGCATTTTGTTCCCCATGCTAACAAAGCAGCTTTGGAGAAATATCTACTATGTATAACATATCAACATTCATAGTAAGAATTACAGAAAACTGCACTGCTCATTAATAATAATAATAGGTTCACCACATGCATAATATTTTCTTCTACACCACTACATTAACAATGCTCCAATTATTACAGTTACATATCAAAAACATTGAAATACCAATATATATATATATATATATGTACAATTCACATTAAGCTTTTTTCCTATTCAGAAAAATCCTATATCAAAAACTACTAGTAAAGGTTCTAGAAGTAATACTTTTTCCTTAATCAAAAACAAAACATTAAAGTCAATGGCTGATCTTCTTCCCCCTAGACATTAAGTAATCGATCACATTAAGAGTGCTTTCAGCCTGAAAAGAGCAATTATCATTTTTTAATACTATATTAATTGGGAACAAAGTGACGCCAATACTGTATAAAAAAAGTGTGAAATGTGAGTAATATCTAAATACTGACTTTCTAATTAGAATAAAAATCAAACATTTACAGCTTGAATAAATAAATAAATAAAAAGATAAATAAATAATATACTCCAATACTACAGCCATTTGCTTGTCACGGCAAGCTTTGTGCAGTCATGATAACATATACCAATATAAGAAATTTAATGTACCCCTTAACAGAGGTATAAATCAGCACATATTGTGAAGTAATATATGCAACAGAAGTTGTCTAGTATCCTTTGCTTGTTCAGTTCATTCACTGATATGTGGATCTTTTTCATTTATCGTCGTTTTGTCATGACCCTTTCTCTATTCATCAGTATTCATGATCAAAATTTGGTGAAGATACTCAGTAATATTTCTGCATTCCATAAAGGACCATACCCTCTCTTAAATTTGTTAAAAAATAAATAAATAAAATTAAAAAAAAAATCCATTTGCAAATCCTTGTCAAAGGCCAATTGAAGATTTTTACTCTAGTTCACCAGATTACAGCAATGTAAGTCCTCAGTATATACCAAAATTCACATAAGTGAAAATCCTTTTCATGCCCTGCCGTGTATTCAACGGTCAATCAAGTTTTTATTTTTTTTACAGAGCATCCTTGAATATGAAAATTGATCAGTTCCTTGCAAGTACAACAGTTCCTATTGGACAAGACAAGCAGCCATTCCCCTTTTTCCAAGAGTTAATAAATAAATAAATAAATAAATGGAAAAGGATTTATTCAATGGAAATGCTGATTGAGAATGGTTAATCTTAAGTTCTTAAACCTTTGTTCTTCCCACCTCAACACCGTGTACAAATCCAGCTCAGTACAATCTTTGACTTATGCTGGGAGTTTGTTTCTACTTTTAAAAAGCCATCTTCCGTTTAACCAGAACAACCAGTCCAGCTGTTACTGTCCCAGTACAATCACACATCCTTGATCAGCTTCTAAAAAATTCAATATTCTTTCAAATGTTTACTGTCACATATCTTTTCCACTCTTGGTTGAAGATCTTTCTAGTTATTCAGGCTTCTGGATTGGTCACAAATTTTTTGCAGAAAAGAAAAAGACCTGAAAATTATCAAGTGATAAGTTTGTTCAGCAATCCAAGTCTTCTGCAAAATAAATATATATATATATTTCTGTAACTTCCTGAAATTATTTATTCAATGTGTACACACGCATATTTGGAAAATAGTTGTTAAACTTTGATCCATCAGTATAATGAAGTTTCCCCACTGGCAGAAAAATTATCCAATATCTTACTGTCACAGTCACTTGTAACATGTCGCAGTATGTACAGGATCCAAAACTATTACTTCTCCTTCATGTCATTGGTCTAGGTTACCACCAAACAGACATTCTTTTTGTTGTTTTAGAATTCAGGAACCTGGTTTTGATGACGTGCAAGATGGGAGTAGTCCCAGTCTTAAATCTAACTCTAAAAACTCTATTTCTCTGTGTGGATTGGAGGAAGTGTCAAGAATTGGGTGCACCAATGGTCACATTGTTGATGATGATGAGAATTCAAGCAATCAGTCACCAGTTTCCATCTCAGACACAGCAGCAATTTGAGTTTTCTGCCAATCAGACATAATTTCGTGATCAATTTGAAATTCAACCTCTCAGATATCCATTTCCATTTCATTTCAGCTGTAAATTATTTAGCCAATCAGACATCTTTATTCATTTTCTCTGGATAGGAAAGTGCCACCAATCAAATGAACATTTTCAATGATGAGTTTCTTGTAAAATAGCAGGGTCAAGCAATCATATTTGAATGATTTAAGAAAGAAGAAATGATAAATCATGCATATATTATAAAAACTATAATAATTACTTACCCATACACTGAAAAAAAAACTGCATTTAACTGACTAACAGAAACTTAGGGTAAAGATATCACATTTCTTTCATTTTTCATCCAAAACGATCATTGTCCTCCCCATCATCAACTGGCAAAAATAGTCATCCTCATTGATAAGTTAAGCGCCTGGCAAAAAGAAAAACAGGGCTACAGACGGAAATACTGTCAGTCTTCTGGTGGCCAGTCCAAGTAAAGTGAGAAGAAATGAGTGATTATCTGAGGGCACTAACACACAGTCCAAAATCTGCCAAGTAGTCTACGCTGTGGTGCATGTTGTCTTTATATATTTTTTCATAAATCAAGAACTGAATATGGTCAAAAAGTTCCGTAGCAGTTTCTGTATAAGTGCAAGTCAATTCAAAGGGAAAAGTCACAGGGAAGAAAATTTTACAGGAACAGTTTCAAGTATGTCAATTCTTTGTAAAACATGACTAAATCCAATCCACCAACAGTACGCTGTGGGCCAGAGCTTACACCAAACATTCAAAGTTTTCCTGAATTCATATTCCATATGTATTAGCTTGAAGCTTGAGCTTGCCAGGGCTTCCAAACAAATATACTGCACAGTTCAATCAATCTGGCAGCAATATCCTTACATATATATAATTTTTATATAATAATTATTATTATTTTATTTTATTTATTTATTTATTTTTTTTTTGTGGTATATTGCTTTTAGGTTTGCCATAATCTTTGGTCAACTCATTAAGTTATACCTGTGACTGTGAAGAAGACTAAATTCCTTTTCTTCTGTCTCCAAAAGACCCCTTTCATGTTTTGATTACTTTTTTAATCAGCAAAAAGCAGACCACAGATGTAACGGAATTTTTTAAAAAGAAATATATACATATTTGGGGACAACTTTATGATTTTACAGTACTAAGTACAAAAAAGTGCAGTTCATCTGACAAGGAAAAGGTCAATCTGTCCGTCTAGAATATAAGGCAGTCAGTGTCAAATCAAATTTTTTATGATTCAATTAAAACACTTCAACTCCTAGGATATTTACCTTCACAACTTTCACACATTGTGCACCTGTTTGAGTTTGATAGCCCTTTCTTTCATCACTTTCAGATTCAAGTTCTTTACAGCTGCCTTTGCATCTCCAATGGACCTGAACGCCACCAGTGCATCACCAGTGCTCTGTCCTTTCACATCAGTGTGTATCCTCACAGAGTCGGTTATAGGTCTATAGTCACGGAAAAAGTCGAGAATGTCCACCTTGTTGGCCTCAATCGAGAGGTTAGAGGCATGGAGGACACACCCAGGTTTGCCAATGGTAGACAAGTCCACTTTTCGTAAAACATCTTCTTTTGGTCTAACATCTGGAGGATACTTTTCAAATGATGGGCCCCTGCTGGCATTGTAGCGCGTAACTGTGATGTACCGATGTCTCATAGACCTTTTATCTCTTTGAAGAGCAAACTTTAGATCTCTGTATGTTTCAAACTCCACATAAGCACTGCCTATGGCCCGCCCTGCTTTATCCCTCACAATATGTATGCCTCTGTCCAGAATGTGCAAAGGTTTAAAGAATTCCCTAACATCACTATCCTCTGCATCATATGGCAATCCTTGAAGAAACGCTGAAAAATTGTCCTTTTCCATTGAGCCAGAATGTGCTTTCTGGGGAAATTCCTCAAAAGATCCTCCTTTGAAAGAGTACACGAACTTGTGCTTGTCTACCTTGTCCCGCATATGCTTCCAAGGGATAGGACTAATTGTAATACTGGGTGCTTTTCCCAAGGGATCACGGCCACTCTTGCGTAAAGTTGACTCAAAGTCACGTCGACACCCCATTTCAAGGTAGCACTGCCCATACATGTGCCTCTGCGGTCAAACTCAACAAAGAGACTCCCTTCTGCCCACTGAAACCCACGCATGAAGGAACGCACCTGATGTTTCTCAGTGCTGGGATGTAGATTAGAAAGCTCAAGCCAAAGACCACTGTCTTGAGGGTCTCTCTCTTCCATGGGCAGAGGGCCCTCTCGTTTTCGTTTCACACTGGGAGCATAGTCTTCTTCTTTAGGGAGGTATGGATCTACAGCTCTTTCAAAGTCCTCCAGTTGACAGGGGGTCATCTGGAGAGATCTTTCTCCCATAAGTTGATAGTTCAGTTTCATGGCTTCGTCATAGTCCCATCGGGAAGCAAACTTTACAACTCCTGTGCCATTCCTTCTTCCTCGGTGGTCGTTACAAAGCTTGATTCCATCCCTAGCAATCTTTATTCCTTGAAAAAACTTGCTTACATCATCATACCGAACAGTGAAAGGCATGTTACTCAGTTCCATGCAAACCCCAAAGTGTCTTTCATCCTTGAAGGAGGGTCTATTTGTATCACCGTATCTCCTTGGTTCAACATCATCAGGACTTCGAGGGGTTTCAAGGAGAGGTCTTTTAAATGGTGGGGCACTAATGTGCCTGTCATTGGCATCAACCATCGTCTGTTCAGTAAATGGTTCACCAATGTTTTTGTTCCTGCCCATATGACCTCTTGATTCTTGGAGACTATCATTCCAGTTATCCAATGAATGTCTAGCCCCACTCATGCTTGACTCTTCAATGTCATTAAAATTTCTGCCATCTGTGTTAATGTCACGTGCGACCCTGTCTTGGTTCCATTCCCCTCTGTCATAAACAGCAGGTCGTTCAGGTTCATCTCTATGTTGATCTTGCCTTGCGGTTAGATCACGATGCATTCTTTCTTGTGGCCTGGTTCTATCTCTGTCATATACCTGAACTAGACGATCAATACCCTGCTGTGGTGGGGTAAAACTTCTTTTATGTCTTGAAACATGTTGGTCCAATTTCCGACTAGCACTTCTGTGAGATGAAATATCCCTACTTTGTTCATACTCATTTATTTCTCTATCTAAAATCCTGCCTCCAAAACCATAGGGCTCATTCATATGTGATTGTCCTCTTTGCAACACCTGGTCATCTAGTCCATGCAGGGATCCATTCAAACTTTGATCAGGCTCATTAATAGAAACATAAGTGTCTTGAGATCTACCAAGGTCTCTTTGGTCAATATCTCCCTGTGGAACAAATTGCTCTGGAGGCAAGATTTCAGATGATCTCCTGAGCTCAACCACCCTGGTGTTAAAATCTTGTTCAGGTTGATAATCTTGTTCTTGGCGGATATGCCTTGACTGATCAAGCTTCTCCCGGAGGTCATTAACCCTGTGTCCATTTCTACCATCTCCAAGATCTGGCATTCGAACTGGTGGGCCCCTATGACCTGATGGTCCTTGACGGTCATTCTTAGTATGATCAGGTCCTCTTTGAATTGGCCTTCCTACTGAAGCAGATGGTCCTCCATAGTTAGACACGCCTCTGTGATCAGATTCTCTTAAACGGGGTGACCTTCGGGGATCACGTGATCCTCGAGAATCCAAGCTTCGGCCTTCCGATTCTCTTTGAAAATGTGGACCATGTTGTCCTGGGGGACTTCTATAATGGACATCATGACCTGGATCTGAACTCTCAACTTGTTGGGGTCCATTTCTGTAGCCATCATACATTGCGCCACCTCCTGCAGGCCAAGGACCTTTCCCTCTTGGGTTAGAATGCTGCTGTCCTGCAGGATTGTACCTACTATTTTGTGCTGAAGCCCTGTATTCCTCGGATAGGTATAACCTTCCCTTATCCCCATATTTTCCTCCAAATGAGGACCTACCATGGGGCCCTCTGTATGAGTCATTTCCGGATTCAGGCCCAGAGGCTCTAAATGGGGGTTCTGCAGGTGCTGGGGCCCCTTGGCCAGATTTTTGAGGTGCAGGAAAGCTCCTTGCCTGGGTTATCACATTTTGCATCTCTGCCTTACTGCTCAGTAATAGCTTGATTATCTGTCCATTGATCTTCCCTTCCATCATCATGGCCCTCCTGGCATCTTCATCTGTGGAGAAGGCAATAAAAGCATCCCCACTGGTTCCTCCGATGATGTGAACACCTCCATCTGGGATAGAAAGCCCCTGAAAAAACTTCCTAATGTCCAGGGCATTGGCAGTCCAAGGTAGCCCCTGCAGTCGTATTATCACTGACATAATAATATTTACTGCTGCGCAACTGGTATCATGTAGATGATTCAGGGTTCAATACTGGAAGAGAAAAAGCATTTTGTTTTTAATAATCATAATAATAATGTTAATGTGCAACTAAAATAGTTGGATTGTACAATAATATATAACTAAATATAACTGCTTATTTACTAAATGAAATAATATTAGTAAAATTGTTAATTAAAAATGTTAAGATGGAATTAAAAATTTGGTACTCCATGGATATTTAAAAATACCTTAATAGTCATTTAAAAAGTTACGTTTTTAAGTTATCAGTGCCCATGGTATGAAAGTTATTGAAGATCTGATAGTTCTCAATATTGGTATAGTATATTTTTAAGTCTGACACAGAGTACATTATATTTTCCCATTTAATTTGCCTCAGGCAGTAGATGGTGTGTTTTATGATCTTTGGGCATATTGTGGAGCAATGCTTTAGATAGCTCATTCCTCCTGCTGGCAAGTGTTAAACAGTTAGAAATTGTGAGTCCCCTTTCATATGAAATGCCTGGCTATGTGATTTAATATGCTCTTTTATGGACCATTTCAACAATGTCACTTTGTTGTTTTGTAACTCCCCCGGGTGCTAAAACTGACAGACATATTCCAGTGTAGATCTTATCACTGACATTTAGTAGCAATAAATTCATTAACAGAAATCCCTTAAAACTTTGAAACCTCATAATTTTACCTTTAGATATTTTTTCTAAATTATATTTTAATATTAATATAATCAAACTTTTTTTCAACTTCAAACTAAAAAATAAACTCGTTGATAGAAAGTGGGATACGATAATATCATGTCATCTAAAGCTTTTTCTATACTGCAGGGTAAACACGAAGTTCCTTTTGATGAGCTGCCAAAATCATTTGTGCAAGGAAAAGAAAATGACGCAGGGGATTCCCCCCATTTCCCCCACGCCTCCCGCTGGTAAACAATATTTGCTTTATCATTCACGGAAGTTTTTTCACAAAATCTGCCCTTTATAGTAGCTTCCAAAGTTTTCGAGGATTATATGCCACTGCTCTTATATCAATATATGATAAAATCTACTTGAATTTGCGTGAGGTTACCCCAAGAAAGGAATAAAAACTCGCTCACCTCACATTTTGCCTTGACACGAGCGGCTGAAGCTTCTGTTATCAGAAGCTCAGAAGCACACGAAAATTCGCTATTTGATTGGTCCCTTTTGTAAATATAAAAATTTGACCAATCAACTCGTGTAACCTGTAACAGGTGCGGTCCTTCCATTCCAAACAACAATGGCGGTAAAGGGAAGAGAAAAAGTCTTAATTTTGGTTATTTTTGTTTCTTATTCCTTAGCGCAAACATATTTTAGGAGTTTAGAACTTCCAAGCGAGTGCAAACAAAAGAAATCTGGAAGTAGAGATAATTTTTTCGATATCTCTCAGCTTGCCTGCCAACCGTGCAACCAAAATAGTTCTGTCCAGACGCATAGTGCGGACGGTTAGTAAAAAAAATATTATGCTGTTTATGAAAACCACTTATATAATCATATGACAGCTTTTATGGTCGTTGCTTATTGTCTTGAACTGTAAAATTGCAAAATATTGGTCTTATATTTAAGTGGCATATTCTGTTATTGTATTTTATAAAGCCCTGTGAGTTGAACTGTTTTTATGTACAGACACAGATGTGTCTGTACATATGACCATCACTTGTGTGATTATACAATAAGTAGCTGTTTGACCTTTTGAATTCAAAATAACAGAACTGATGATTCGAATATTCATAAAATACAGGTGGAGTACGAAAATCAGCTTGATCGGACCATTTTTCCAAAAGTTATGCTGTTTTTTTTTTTGTTTTTTTTTTTGGGGGGGGGGTTCTTCAGCATTTTTATCCACGGTTATATATATATATATTATTTTATATATATAATGAAAACCATTTTGCCTTTTGTCTTTAAAATTACATAACTGATAGAAATTCATAAAATGCTGGTCAAGTAAGAAAATTAATTTGATGGCAGACCTTTTTTCCAAAAGTAATACTGTTTTTTTTTGCTCTTTTGGCATATCTAGTCAACAGTTATGTAAATATAAAGAAAACTATGTCTTATTTTTCTTTTAACACTTGCAGTACTGATTCATAGGACTAATACATAGATCAACAGTGTTTGCGCTGGGCAGTTTGTAAGTGGAGTCCTTGGGACCCCACTAGCATTGTAAAATGGGGTCCTTTAGAACAAAATGGGGTCCTTCGGAAAAATAATTTTTTTTCTTATTTAATAATAAAAACTATCAATAAATTTTGTAAAATTGTAATCCTTTTTCTTCTCAACTCACCAGTAAGCACTAAGGTGCAACATGTTGTTCCCACAAAAATTGATGAAACAAATTTTTGACAGACACGACAAAACAAGTGCTTTGAAAACAGCTCTTGACATCTGAAACTCATAACACAACAGCTTTCATTTTTATAACTTGATTTCTTTATTTTATATTACCATCAACCTTAAAATGTGTATGGATAGGTGGTGCGTATCATAGACCAATTTCACAAACAATCCATGTGAAAAATAGTTCTTTAAAGTGTGATAACTTAAATTACTTTTTACGGTGCCTCAAAGCACGAAAATTCTGAAGCTTCAGGAGCTTCTTGAAGACAGCAATACCTCAACCTGTGAAATTTCAAAGTAGGACCAGTTCAAATTAAACCATTATGTTAAAAAAAAAGAGAATCTAGTATTTGGATCAGTTGTCAGCAAGAAAAATCTGAATGACTGTTGACTGTGATATCTTATTTTTTAAATAAAGATAGTTGAAGTAGGCCTATATCAAGGACCCTGCAATAAAATTAAAATATCCTAATAGTAGTAGGGCCTATATTTGAGCATTCTTCAAAAATGAACAATAATTTAAACTCGTCCTTAAAATGACCAGTACTAGGACATGTTTATCATTCGCAACAAACGGATTGCATAATAAAATTTAATTCAGAAATTGCTTTATCAAATTTTAACAGGACCGGCATCAATTTTATTTTTTTGTGGGATGCCATTTTGAATCGCTTCGAATGACGCGCTACTTTTTACTTTTATTTTTTTGTCTCTTTTTATATATGCATTGTTACAATACTTAAAGTTTCATGGTGACGGTAGCGTGCAGACCCAATCCGCATACCGTTACTTTCCTGTAACTCCATTAATGAGTCAAACTTGCTTAAGGGCATATCTTCTTTGATTAGCCAATAGATGGTTCGCAGTTGTACGCTCAAATTATCACTTGTAGCTTTTTCAGCATTGGATAATGCTTTTTTAAATGCGGCGGCGGAAGTTCGCTGTTGTGCGCAATTCCTATGTTGCTGAGAGGCCTCGTGCCGTGTGAGACTACTTCGCTGAAAATCACAGCAACCGCTTGTAAAACAGTTTTTAGAGTTGCCTGCACGGCAGACGGCACAAAACATTGTTTGGTTTTCATATATTAACCAGCTAAATTCATTACACCACGCCGGGATGAATGATTCTTCGGTGCACTTGGACCCGCCGCCATGACTATATAAACCACGTGACGATCGACCTCGATTACGCGTAGAGGAGTTCACTAAAGCGAACCTAAAGCGAGTCTACTTTTGGAGTGACAAAATGAAACCATCGATGATTTGTCCCTAGTTTTATTGGTTCGTACTACCAGATCACTTTCAAACTCACAAGCCCAATTTGTCGAAATTCCTTTGTGTAATTTATTATGCATTCTTAAAAAAAAAAAAAAAAAAACTTGNGACCTCGATTACGCGTAGAGGAGTTCACTAAAGCGAACCTAAAGCGAGTCTACTTTTGGAGTGACAAAATGAAACCATCGACGATTCGTCCCTAGTTTTATTGGTTCGTACTACCAGATCACTTTCAAACTCACAAGCCCAATTTGTCGAAATTCCTTTGTGTAATTTATTATGCATTCTTAAAAAAAAAAAAAACTCGCGTCCCCCGGGACGCACTGCCCTGCTGAAATTTGCGTCCGTTTATGAAACGATGCGTAAATTATATACTCGGACGGCGTAAACGCGAACACTGTCTAGTGCGATAAATCTGAGCCAAGTACTAAACCTATTTTAATTCACATGAACACACTAACACACTTGCATACACTGTATAATCTCTGAACTTTTGATCTGTTCCAGCAACCCGTATGGTGCCCGGCCTCAGTCCAGGAGAGGATTCAGACAAGGAGACAGCCGGGCTGCCATGGACAAGGAGGGGCAAAGTATGGGTCGAACTTACAGGAACACCAGTATTGATTTAAAAATCTGAATAAATTTGTACCTGTCACTACTACTGAATGTCAAAAGAAGATGTAGAATTATTGATATATTTTCGCCAATTATACTTAACTTTGTGAAGGACTCACAGTAGTATGGAACACTTGTCATTGAGTATTTAATGCACAAATGGAGATTTAAAACCTTAGATAAATTGGTTTGAAAGACCTTAGATATAGTCAAATTTTTTCAGGAAGCATTTATCTAGGACAACCTTTCTATATCCAATGTTATGTTATGCAAATAAATGTACAAACTTGAAGGGTTTAAGACCTGTTTAGATGTTATATGCATATTTATATTTTTAAAAATAAGTCTGGGCTTACAATGTCTGGACACTCATTTCATGCTCAGTAACAGATTTTGAAAAAAAAAAGGATCTTTAAATTCAGATACAGGGGCTCTGCAGAGACTTGGTCTTCCAGTGAGGAATAGGGGAGATGGTGGACATCAGGGAGGATACAGAGGAGGAGGAGGAGGGGCCACAAGTGACTCAGGCTGGTTTAAAGTACAGGTAAATTAATATTATGATATACAGATATACTGCCACACAGGTAAGAAAATTAAGATCAGTTAAAGCAGGTCTTACCTGGTAAGATTGCTATATTGCACTAAAAAAATTCCTTGAAACCTCTTCTGTTTTTTTATGAATACCAAAGGCTACCAGTCAGTTGAGAAAATTTATAAATATGAAATGATAGATTTCTGAGATCAACATTGGAAAAAAGGGCAACTTTTGGTCACAATTTCTTGCCATTTTTGTACTACAAGTGGTATCCATCCCTTGAACTCTAATTGGTTAAAATTGTGGTAACAGCTGCTTGGGTTTTTTGTTTAATGCTGGTAGGAAAGGTTTGTAACTAAGACTTTTTTGTAGTATATTTTTTCTTTATTTACTGTTCTCCCCATAAGCCAATTTTGCTTTAGATCATGTCCTCCATACACAGAAACGTGTTTTTGAAATATTTTTGGCACATTTTTTAAAGACCTACTCTAAATGTAGAATTCCCAATTTTGTAGGAAAGGTGAAATAGATTTAACTTTACATTTTACGCATATAAGGTTATCAGATTAATGTTTATTCATTTAAGTATAATTATGAATGAGAGAGTTAACTCTGGAGACAATATTAACAGTGTTAATACACACACATAAGGTTATTAGATTAAAGCAAATTCTTCTATGTATAATTATGAATGAGAGAGTTAACTCTGGAAGAAATTAGTGTTGATAAGACTGCAATTGTAGTAAAAAGGTAACAGAACGTTTGTTACTTTTATCCAGCTCTGAAAGTCATAAACATTGTGTATAATGTGTCCTAATATTTCTAGATTCCTCATGGGAAGAAGTATGGGAAGGACGCAGTTCTGAAGGCCATAAACTCCATGTGTGATGTGCCTTTTATGCCTTATCATGTAAGCCACCAAGTAATACTACTTAGATTAAAATGCCATTGGTCTGTTATAAATGGTTATTATACATTGCATATTTAAAAGATCAATGATAAAGTAAAGGAACATGGTATTTTGGATTTTCATACTCAAATGACCTTTTAGTGAATTAATGTGTGTGTGTGTGTGTGCGTGTGTGTGTGTGTGTGTGTGTGTGTTAATTTAAGTTCAAATGTGCAGTTGACTTCTTGTAAGCTAACAACTCAGATATTTCAATGTTTTAGAGTGACAGTTTAAAGTATTTAATATCTTGACTCTCCTGAAAACTGTTTATGATCATGAAATTGCACTTCTGTAAAATAACCCAAGGCACAGCTAAGCTAATGTCAGCCACGCTAAGTTATTGTACCAAATAAACATGCATTTGCCAAAAAAAATGATGAAAAAGGTTTTACAGTTCTCTTATCAAAGTAATTACTTTTTAAGGACTTAAACAAAGAAGAAACTATTTTCTAAATAGATTCAGAATAAGATTTCAAATGTTTTCCAGTATCACCATAAGGGTGGTAATATGGCAGAGTTCTTTGTCCAAGATAACAAGGCTGCAGATGCAATAAGGAGGGCATCAAGACGGTACACATTTCCTAATGGTTTTAAAGTAAGTCAACTTTGACTGTTGACCTTTCTGGATTACTTTAGAGAGGGAATGGGGGGGGGGGGGTCAAAGTAATTTGTGGAAATTTTGTGCTGCTTTTTCAAACAGTGGGAATTGTGTTTGTATGGTTTGTTATTAGCTCACAGCACTTTTGTTCTTACAATGATGGGCATTTTATGTTTTGAAGAATGTTTTTTATGTCGTGTATTATTTAAAGTTAGTCTTTTATATCTCTGTTGCTCTCTTGTGGACTTATATTTCATTAATCTTGGTTTTTGTAATGTCCAGATGGTCATTCTTGTGCGGCCTTGTGGTGCGCCCAGCCTTCCAATGGATGATAATACAATTGAGAAGTTGAAGGTAAACTAAGAGCAAAAAAGAATGAAACAACACAAAAAAATGATTGAAATATAAGGTGTATAGAAGCTGTAGAGATAATAACCTTTGTTAATGAATTAATGTATATTTTGAAGCAAATGATTGTTAATTATGCAACAAAATACCTTCATTGCCATGCTAACTTTTAACAGGGCTGAAAATAATGTTAAGGTTCAAGTATATTGTATAAAGTATGTCTGGTAGAATTTCTTTGTTAGTTATGCACTTCTGTTATTTTGTTCAATAGATAAGTATGAGTAATCACTATGATCCAGCTACCAGGTCTTTGGACCTCAGCAACTTCTATGCTGATGAAGGTAATGGCTAAATTCAGACTCATTTCCACTTCTGACATTTTTGTCAGTGCCTTTGATATTTTCATTTGCAATTCTCTGTGTTTGTAACTGGATTTTTAATGCAAGTAAAATATTTTTTAAGGAAAACCTCTTTCAAAAGTTATTGATTAAGACTTGTTTGTTTAAAGATATTGTCTACTTATACAGTGGCTTTTAAGAAATTCAAGGATATTATTTATTGAAAATTTATTTATAGACTTTCTATTTTTATCTTCTATAAGCATTGAATAAAGAAGGCATCCACCTGGCTTTAAACAAAGTCAATGTAATGGTCAATGTATTAAAGATCATTGGTGAAAATATTCCTGAGGTAAGTAAGGGCATCTAGTGCATATAAATGTGAAGCTGTAGTCTGAATTGAAGTAAAATTTTTTAAAGAATTCAAATATATAATATTCTTGTATTTGGAAGCTCAGCATAGACATACCTGTTTTTTTCTGGCTTAACTGGTAATGTATAGAGTTGAATGAAAGAATGAATGTAAGCATGTGCTATGCATTTGTACATAAACATATGTGCCCCCATATACAGGTATAGGAAGTATTTCTATTAATAATAATCTGTTTTGCTGCTCAGATTAAAGATTGGTTGAAATGCAAACAATTTACAGTGGTACCTGATGTAAACATCAGACTTAGCCATTTAAATCTTACCAGCAACAATGACTGTATTAATATATTTTTCAGGTTGTTTCAGTCAGTTTCTCCAACAACAGACTGTACACTTGTGATAATTTAGTGGAACTGTCAGAAAAAGGACCCAACATAAAGAAACTAGATCTTAGTCATAATCAGGTTTGAACTTTTAAAAGAATAGTTAAAATTTTATTTTGAAGAATAACTGATGTGGGAGATTACAAATATGATGTGAACTCAAATTAATAAATCTAAAATTAGTTTGTATTATTATGATAAGTATGGTCTAGCTTTAAATTGCTCTCCCAACTGGACTTCTTTGATTCAATCCGAAGTCTGTATTATTTTCATTTGATTTGATTTTTTTGTCAAATAAATGCAAAAAAAATCTTTCGTTGATTTTATATACAAGTTTCTAATTTTGAATAATTTAATTTTCCTCTGTTAAACAGTTGAAAGGAGAACAAGAGCTGGACAAAATCAAGAAATTGAAGTTGGAAGAGCTTGTTTTGGAAGGCAATCCTTTTGTTATGCATCAGAAAGACCAATCTGCTTATGTCAGGTAATGTTTGGTTGGGGCAGTACCCCACTGGGCTGAGTTGGTACATGGCCTTAACTGGACTTTGGTCAAGTTGGTCATGGTGGATTTAAAACAGTGTGGCTGATAAGGCTTAAAATTCAATATTTCTGCTGGTCAAGAACTCAGGAAGTGGTAAAAATAAAAGAGGTTGAAACACTGCTAGAGCTTTCCTAAATATATGGCTTTTAATGTCATCTCCTTTTTAGGAAATTTGGATAGGCTGCTTATGCTTCATAAAATGAAATAAACTGAAGTTTGAAAGCTGCAAGCAAAATTGTGATGTGCCTCAAAATTGTACTCAAATAGGTCGTGGTAAAAATGATTGAGCCTTGGTTGGTGAAAGTGGCTGCTTGAATGGCAATAAAGTATGGGAGCTTGTGTTTTTTAGGGTGTAATACACCCCTACATCAAGTGGAATATTTACCACTGTGAGCTTCAACCTCTCTCTCTCACACACACACACAAGCACACACAAGCACACACACAAGAAGATAACACATACCTCTTGTTGTTTTTAATTCAGCTACATGCCGTCATTTAAATCTTCTGTAAGTTGTGAATGTTTCATAATATATTGTGACAGATGACCTATCAGTTGTATGATCTTATGGTCTTAAATATATATTTTGTGGTTTAAGTACTTACCTCTTCCAGATTGTCTGAATAAGGTTTTGAACAAATATTGTTGTCAACTGAAAACATTTAAAGAAATATATGATCCCCCATCCTTTCACCAAAGGCCATTATATGCCATTTTCTTAGACATATTCTTGTATGTCTTTCATATTCTTATTTTTCATGCCTTTACCAGATGCTTTTTCCAGATAGCATTTTCCCCCATCTGTATTTCATCATTCTTAACACATTTCATAAACCTTTTCTTTAAAATAAAATGCATCATTTACCTTTAATCCATTTTGCTGAAGAGAAGAAGCTGTTGGAATGTGAACTGTGATGTTTACAAACAAAAAACTTGTATGTTATGGTAAATTACAACTAGACACTTTTTTTTCACCTTTACAAACCCTCTCGTCATCAGCACTGCATTTTTAGATGGGAATTCTGTATGCTGCTGGTCTTCCATTTGCATCCTCTTATTCCATTTCTGCCTTTGGAATATCAGGTGCCTGTTCTGGAAGATCTAGAACAGCTACTGTCCTTGAACACAACAAAATTTTGTGCCTGTGTAGTATATGACTATTTTGTCAAGGAGTCAGCCATGTTCCAAATGTATTGAAAAAAATCAATGATCTTTTTTCCCCCAAGGATGTACATGACATAAATACTGTTACAGTGTTTGAAGTATTTTGGTGCACTCCTAATGTAATTCCTGATAATTTAATATCATTAAAAAATGAAACCCCCATCAACAGAAGATGTGCCCAAATGGGAGACATGCTGCCACCTAGTGGGGGTCATTGTTACTAACATTCTAAGAGATGTATCACCTGAGGCGAACTGCAGGTTTCTGCACATGGAACATGTGCCTTTGAACTATATCTGTCATTATGTGTTATATTTTGATAGTTATGGTTGCCCTTTTATTTAGGTCATGTGGAGTTTCTTTTCTGCAGTTGTTTAATAAATGATTTTTGTTTTTTTTTCTGCTTCTCATTTCAAAGTAATGCTGTTGTTTCAGAGTTTTGTTTTTTAGTTATCACAAATTTTGTGAAATGTTATTTGACTTTTTTTGTTTTGTTTTAGCTGAATTTCAACTCAATAACTTTTTGAAATAGGTTGCATTGTTTTTGATTATTGTAAGATGTTTATTTTTGTTGTATGAAATATAACTTAGAAATGTAGTGAATTCATCCTACATTTGTTTTTGTTAAATATTTATACTGTTGCAGTATTTTTTTGATGTGAAATATTTTTCAGTCATAACTTTCAGTTGCTGTCTTACAGTACTTGATACAAAGTTAGGACTGACAAATGTGGTTAAAGAAGGTAAGATCTCTCTCAGAGAGGCGACCTAAGACAAAACTAACCATCACACTGAAACAATATGGCAACCAGATGACAGTGAAAGAGCACTTGTGGTTTGGAAACAAGACTCGTTTTTCTGTTAGCTCTTGAAAATCTAACAAGAGAGTTGGCTGTTTTTTATGCTGTCCCCATGATGATATGGGGTTTAGAAGTCAGAGATGAGATTGATTCTTTATTCCCAGTTTATAGTTGACTTCATAATGGGAAGTAAAATTGGGAATGTTCCTTGTTGTTAATACATATATTGTGTCTCTGACCTTAATGTTATTGATTGTAATTTTTTTTGCTGATGGGCATTGTTATCCCTTGAACTGTACTCTATTTTTGAATACAAAATGAATTGAGTTTTGAGAATTTTTAAAATGTTTTTCACTAATAATAACTTGGGCTTTTTGGAATTGGCTGATTGCTTTTCAAAATATTGTTATTTAAAGGCCAGGGGCTCTTTGTTTTACCATGAAAATGATATGATATTTATATATCACAGATTGTTTATGGACAATATAGAATTCCTGAATGTTGTTAAAGATGACTTGTACAATGAACACTTTCCTGGTTGCGTTAAACTTCTGTCAGCTCCACTTGCTTCTTACTTCCTAAATGAAACATGTTCCATCATATATGTACGCAGCAGAACTGTGTGGCTTTCTGTACTCTGCAATATTATTTACAATCACCATGTATTATCGCCATAATAATCATTCCTCCTTTCGTGGTTGCTTCATTTGTTCTGCTTAGGACATCTTAATCCTCGTGATTACCATTTCTACATTGTTGTTTACCTTGTCTTCAAAAATGGCTTTTGCCAAAAGAATTTGTGAGGTTTACAAACTGCCTGAAGTCTATGTGATCAGAATAAAGTGATCTTCATATAGTGAAGGCAGAAGTATTCCTAATTCATTCTCATTGTCTCATAAAGTTTGAAGTCTCTGTGATAGAGCAAAATAAGAATGAATCTTCACATAGTATGCTCAGATCTCATTTGTCATATAGTATTAATTCATTTTCTATCCATATCCAAACATTGCATCAAAACTTTTCACTCTTTGATTTGATATCTAAAGCACCTCTTTTGTGTATTTAAGTGACTTGACTGTCTGTCCTTTATTTCTTCTTTACATATGTGGCAGTTAGGTTTATTTCTAGTCTGTGCCTCAAAAGTTGGTAGCAGGGACCTTTTTGTTGCATTGACTGAAGGAGGGGAATATAATTATAGAAAAATCCATTGTAGATATGCTAAATGAATGTGACTTGGTGTCATTTTTCATAAAAAGAATTATTCACAACAAAAGGTATGTGTTTTCTTCTAATTCTTCCTTATCTTGGTAGGCTTCTTTGGTTTTGAACCTTTTTCCTAATTGTATCGGATCAGGTTTTAAAGGAGTTTGGTTGGAAATGTGAAGGAGTGTGTATGTGTACAGGTTGTAAGTGTTTTCTGGTGTATCACTATAACTTACTTCATACAGGTTATGGCAAAGTGAGGAAAACTCCCTTACTGTTTCCATTTTATTGAAAAAAATACTCAAAATCAATCTTGATTAACACCATGCCTTTCTGAAGTAGACTATGCAGTAGACAATAATTATGTATATTTAGCATGGTTCATAATTTGAAGAAACAAAATTGGAATAATTGATAGTTCATTAGTTTTATAAGGAGTTATGTGGAGAGATTTAGTTTGGCAGTACTTGGAAGCAGATGGTGAGATTTGAAGTCCATGCACTTGAGGAGAGCAGTGGTACTGTATTTTCACCCTGTTAAATGTCATGAAGATTTCATTTGAGAAAATATATTAGGGTGCATATGGATAAAGTATCCATTTTGTGATAAATGAAAGAGTTGCAGTTTACTGCTCCATGAAATATTGGCAGAATACCAACTCTACTTTGACTCAGGTTGCATGTTTTTTCTCGACACCTGTGCTCTGTGTTAGCCAGTCAGATGGAGTAACTGCTTCTGATATCATGTGCTATCCACTTAAATTCTGTCTATAGCATGACTTAATGGGTGAACATGACAGGATGCTATATGATTATCAACCTCTACCAAGTTGGTGTTCAGAAAAAAAGTTTTTTAAGCACTTTCCATCTTTTTCAAGCTTTGAGTATAAGTATGTCTTGCATATCCTCATATTGCCTGAGAGTTATTTCAGGGCCACAGACTCTTTAAGTAATTGTGACATTACTTGTTCACCATGGTGTTTCAGCGCTGTTCGTAAGAGGTTCCCAAAGGTGTTAAAGTTGGTAAGTAGACAGAGTTTGAGACTTTAAATTTGTCATAATGAGTGAATTGCTCACCTTCCAAATGAAAGATTTTTTGACAGCATCAAACATCATTTTGAATTTAGTTGTTTTAAAGGAAGGAAGGAAAAAAATATATCATTTTAAAATTAACAGATTCTTTTGATTTTATATTTAAGGAACACATTAAGTTTTAATTTTCATAATTTTAATATATTGTATTTGGATATTAAGTAGTGAAGTGACATACAGTAAATTTGGTATTCTCCAGGACGGCAAAGACTTACCACCTCCCATAGGTTTTGACCTGGAGTCCCCCACTGACCTTCCCACCAAGCAAGGCAGTTATTTCATGAATGAGGAAGTGAAAAATTTGGTCGTGAGGTTCTTAGAACAGTAAGTGGCTGTTATTTTGGACATTATAACCTTGAATTCTGTGGCAGGACCTTTTAGACAAAGAAGTGCCCTTTTTGATGAGGTCTTTGTGTCTCATGTTCCAGCTCGCATGGTCTCAGTTTGAAGTGGTCAGCAGGTCTCTCTTTGAGTCTGCATCTTGTCTCACTATTTCCAAAACCATAATAACAGTTGATGTATTTGGCCGATGTAACTTTAAAGCAGATGCTATTTGTAGCTTTAGAGATAAGAGTATATGTATTATATTTACTTCAAACATTTTGGTGATTTTCTGAAGGAAGCAACTGAGTTGTCTGTATTTTATTCCAGATATTTTAGCATTTATGACAGTGATGACAGACAAGGACTGCTGGAGGCATACCACAATGAAGTAAGTTGTCCTTGTTTACCCTGAGTTTTTCTGTTGTGAAGTCATGAGATGTTGTAAATGTAACATTATGATGTTCAAAGTAGTATAAAGGAAAATTTTGTGCCAAAACCAATTTCCTTTGGGTAAAAATAATTTTCTCTTAATCTCAAATCTTTGCTAGACCTTTCCCTGCACTTAGATCTGATTTATTGTTCCAATTTTAAATAAATGACTTAATTTTTAATCAGTCATGATTTATTCAAGCTGACATCCTTCTTCCTGGCATTTCATGATTTGCCCAGAAACACCATGACCTTGTTTTCACTTTACAGTATGAAAATTAACGCTGAGTTCTGTTTCTTGTATATAATATTACCTCGACAGAATTCATTTATGACATGAAATCGATGCCAGGGCTTAGCCTTGCAAGAATCTGAAAGTTGGTTTGGCCCCTGGCTATTTAAGTATTGCATCTTCAACCACTTTATTAAATTGACTAATGGAAAGTTCTTTATTGTTTTAGATTAATTTTCTTTGTCTGAAGATTCCATCCTCATACTAGTAAAAATAGTAGTTTGAAAAGGCTGAAAGGTTTACAATGCATGCTGCATTATTATTATTTAAAGACAAGTTGGTTTCTCTGTGACTTAACTAATAGGATTATAAAGGAAAATTTATAATAGAAGGTATATTTTCATAGTTCATGAAATTGTTTGTAGATGTTTTTATTTAATTTTTTTTATTCAGGCAACCTTTTCAGTGAATATTGCACAAAACTTGACACTGGTAACAAAGTAAGTACATATGAGCATAGGAAGTGACCTAGTTAACAAATGAAAATAATTTATTTGGCTAATACATACCTAAAATATTGGTTTCACCAGACATTGTTTTCTGTCTGATCTCTAAAAAATGAAATCTAAAAACATCAAAGTTAGAGATGTGAAAATTTAATGAAAAATTAACAAATGTGTTAAAAGGGCAATTGAATTAAAAATTAGAGATAAAATGAGCAACAACTGAAGGATAAAAGCTTTAACTGCCTTTAAAATGTTGCTCATGTTGCTAGGTAAAATTTTAAACAGTAAAAGCAGGGTGATAAGTCACTCGTTGTGTTGTCTTATCTTGTCTCCATTCTCTCAACATAAATGCTCTTTGTGATGGTAAAGCATGACCAATCATCTTACTCTAAGTATTGATGATGTTGTTCATTTTCCTTTTATCTTCCCCAGTTGCACAACCAAACCATGTAATTATTGCAAATTTTAAATGCTCTTCACTGTAGATCTGTAAAAGTTTAAAGTTTAGCAAATTACTTGGTGCTGTAGCTTTCTTAGGAAATAAATTCTCTGTGGTTAAAATTTCAAGATAAGAGCAGAATCAGTGTATATTTGTCTTTGTAATTTAGGTATTCCATTGTTTATCTGTAAAGTCTGTTGATTGGTAGAAAATATCCTGGAAATAAAGTATGTACGGTATGTACATATGTGAATAAAGACATGAAATGATAGCTGTTATTTTCCTTTGAAAAAAAAAACAGAACTATGTATTTGTCCTTTTGATTCATTCAGTTGTATGGTTGATAAGGTGGCTGAATTGTGGATAAAATTTATTTTTTAGTTATCCTAAATATCACGACTACCTCTCAGAGAGCAGAAATCTTGTGAAGGTCAAAGATCCAGGTGAGTTTTAGCATTAGCGTTGATGAGCTGATGTGCCCACTTTCTCATATTACCAGAAGATAAGTATTGGGATGTATTTACATGTTTCAGAACTGATTTATTTTCCACCTTTGTCCAATAGGTACTGAGAAAAACAGTCATCATCTAAATTGAACAATTTTATTTTTGTCAAGGGAATAAGGTTTTTTAGAGATTATGCAGCTAGTATTACTTTCTGTGAAAGTGTGCAAATTTCATAGGGTTTAAGGTACAGTTAGATGATGAACTTTTTTGTAAAGTAAAGATTGAAAGCACTTGAATGTATCGTCTTCATTGTCTGTTTGATAGTCAAAAGAAACAAGTGCCTGAAACAAGGAAAACTGAATGTGGTGGCAGCACTGTGCAACCTCCCCAAGACATCCCATGATGCAAACTCTTTTGTTCTAGATGTTACAAATGCTACGGTAAGCAGTTCATGTGATATGATTGCCATTTTTCTACTTTCCTAGGCTTTTAGGTTTACAAATCCTTTATTGATTAAAAAAGCTACTTTTTTTGTAATCAGTAATTCTGTTTTTCTGTAACACAGATTATACCTAATAGAATAGCAAATTATTGAGCAAAATAACATTTTTGTGGCCACAACAAAATGTTCCCCATATGTTTATGATATATTCTCTTACATTGTAGCAACATCTTTTGAGCTTCATTGTCTCTGGGATATTCAAAGAGAGTGAGTATGAACAAAAAAATAATAACATGCACTTTCAAATATATACATGCATCATGCAGTATAGGAACAAAACATCTAGCATGTCATGAGAATTAACTTAAGTGTGCACTTGGCTTTATTATCCCTAAGCTGCTCAAGGAAGCATGTCAGACAATTTAGTTGATTACAGTGATTGCACTTTAGTGAGAATCAGAGTTGGATCCACCCAGCTGGTATGATGTCTAAAGCTGAATGGGCCCTAAATTTGCCCTCGATTTCCAACCCAAAATATTGATGAGTAATTATCAGTAAGAACAAACTATTCAGACTTGAAGTAAGAGACAGACGATGTCTAAGTCTGCCCCAGATTTCCACTATGTATTTGTCAGATAATTATCAATTATAACAAACTGCATTTCTTCCAGGTGACACCAAGTCAGACAAGCCTCCTGTCAGATACTTTTCCAGACATTTTGTTACTGTTCCACAAGGCTCTGGGTAAGTAGGTGCATGAAGAGGACTGGCTCATTGAACAGTATCTTTGTATATATGTGGAATTGTCTGCCTGTATATGGCATAATGGAATAGGCCATCATTAAAGGTGTAGCAGTTCTTCAACATCTAAAAAGCATGATGTGTGTGTTTGTGTGCACGTCTATGTTCATATTTGACATTATGAGGTTGGCCTCTCTTAGGGGTATAGTGATTCTGTATAAAAATCTACAAATAAGGTATGATAATATGTGATGGTTTGAAAATGATATGGTATATGTGTGTGTTTTGTGCTTTTGTTTGATTGTCCTTGGATGTGTTTGTGTGCTCATGTATTTGTATTTGTGTGTTGTGTGGTTTTGTGCTAGTGTAATTTGTATTTGAGTGTGCTGTGTGTCCATGTTTATGTTTATATAAGTGTGGTATGTGGTCTTGTGTTTATATGTTGTATTGCCTTGTATGTGTTTGTGTCTGTGCTTTTATAGTGGAACTGTTATGAGCTTGAATGTGCATGCATCTGCATGTGTGTTATGTTTGTGGAATATTGAGGGGAAGTATTGCTCTGTTTGGTTTTAACATGGTTAATAGCTTGCAATGTTGTAGCACCTTTACTAGCATCATTTTGATTGTACCACCTGTTTATTTTTAAGTTTTTATTTTTCTAAAGACAAGAGAAATAAACACTGCTGATTTCAGACACCTATGTGTACTCCTCCAGCTGCCCGGGTATTACATCAATCTTATACATAGGCAGTACAAAGTTATGAAACGTGATTTGCAGTCAGAGGCCAAAAATCTTATACCAGTACTTTTTGTTGTATTTCAGCATTGTGATCATCAATGAGATGTTGACAATTACAAATGCAACCCCAAAACAAGTGCAGGTGAGCATTTCATTAGAAATACTTTCAGTTATTTTTACCTCACCATGACAAAGGCGAGGGGAGCTATTGTTTTATTGCATGTAATTTGGCAATGATTGATCCATAAGTGCCAAACTATTATTTTGTTTAAGCTTAAGTTTACCAGGAGACAAAATATGGTGAAAATTCGAGTTGAATTCACAAATCAGCATAATTGATTTTCACAAAAGTTATGGTGCACTTTGTATTCTCAACTGGGTTAAACCCCAAAATAAAATAGTGTGATTAAACATAATTATTTTACCCCAAAAAAATTATTGTAATCTTTTTATATGTGTTTTTAAAACTAAGTTATAAGTCAGTATGGTATTTTGAATTTTTTCAGTCTTCATTCAAGCAAGTGACTCCTACCCCCAGTCCTAGTCCAGTCCCAGGGAGCTCACCAGTGGTCAGCAGTCCACTGGCCCCTGATGTCCAGAGGGCAATGGTCAAATCTTTCTCCCAGCAGTCTGGAATGAATGAGGAGTGGTCACAGAAGTAAGTACATAGATGGTGGACTCTGACAAGTGTGTGACAGCAGTGGATGTGGTAGATATGGTTGTGTTATGCAGGTTGTGCAATTGTGGTAGTGATGACTTTTTGACGGTTGTGCCACCGTAGTAGATGTGGCTTTGTGCTGATTTTGTGATTGTTGTAGATTTTCTTTCTGGTTGTGCCACTGTGCTGCATGTGACTGTGATGGCTGTTGTACAATACTGGATGAAATATGTTGTCCATTTGATAGTGGTTATTTGTGTTATTTGTCTTGAAAAATCGGTCAGTAAACACGATGAGTATGTGCCACTTGGTCTTTGATGGTAAATAGTCTTTTGGTGAGCTATTGATTACATTTTGGGATGTTTATAACTTGTATGGTTTCACACTGCAGCTGTTATTTGGATACCCTTTCTTTGTGTTAAGTGATGATAAATATTATAAATATTAGATATGTTTTTGATATAAGATGAGGACAAGTAGTTTGATACCAAGGTCTGAACCAAGTGGAGTTCCCTTTCTTTGTGTTAAGTGATGATAAATATTATAAATATTAGATATGTTTTTGATATAAGATGAGGACAAGTAGTTTGATACCAAGGTCTGAACCAAGTGGAGTTCCCTTATTCATTTGTGATATAAAACATTAAGTAAGAATCAAGAGATAGCATATCATATCATATCCATCGGCAGATATTTGTATATATTTTTCTTACTAACTCATTGGTTTGAGCTGTCAGTGAGTTGTCAACTGCCTGCCATCCTCATGTCACTGAGTTGTCATCAGATGTCATTGTACTTGCCACACACCTGCCAAGCTGATGGCAGGTTCTTTTGACAGTTGTCATTGTGTGAAGGGTGACTGTCACTGCTGCCAGTCTGTGTAACTGTATTATATACCCTCTCAATAATAGGCTCCATCGCTGACTTCTCCCCCCCCTTTTTTATCACAGTTCGTGTTATTGAGTAATTTAGCTAAAACATTGGTTTGGATTTAATTAAAAAGACAATGCATGACTACCCTGTAGGTGAATTTATTGGCATTTATCCTAGTCAAAAATAACGTAATCAGAGTTTGAGTTCAGTAAATTACTCAGTGCCAGTATACAGTTCCACTATATAGATACCAGTTATTCTGTACAGGCTGGATAATAAGGTGTATAATATGCTGCATGCCAAACTGCCACTGCTGTCATTTCCAGGCCAGCATATTGATAATTAATGAACAGTTGTGAGATACTGGTACATTATGTATGAAGGAAGATGAGAATAGCATATTATTTATCTCTTTTTAGGTAGGTGATGGTGGGGGGGGGGGGGGGGGGGTTGGTTAAAGAAACTGAGTTTATGTAGAAATATTTTATTGATACATGCTCTCTTTTATGTCTGTGGATAATAGCAATTAATTTTGGCTACAGGTTGTCAGTCTGAACTTAAAAAATATTTTCAATGTGAAGTTTGTTTACATAAAAAGGTAATTATGTTGTCATTGACTGCCTCGTCGGGTCAAGTTTACAAATTACAGAAATTTGGAGAAGGTGGTTTAACCCCCTTATTTTCAGTTGGTGGAATAATAATTTTTTTTTTCATGAGGATTTGAGTTGTGTAAGAAACTGGTTGCATTATGATGAGAAAGCTCCTCAAGGTGCATCCCCCCTTTGTGTATACTTGCCTTCATTAGTGATGTGTTTGACAGCTATTGGTTCAGACTGGTGAAAGGAAATAATGAAAATAGGGCCTTGTGTATGTGTTAATATATCGCCTGACTGGCTGGGTCTATAATTAAATGCATGCTATTATTAATGAAAAATAACACATCATTCATGCCTGAAAAATGTTTTTATCAGTATGCAGACTAGTAATTGAAAGAGTGCTTATAGCCAGTTAATGTTGTGTTTTTATGTTAGTTTCATTCATTTATCAATTTTGAACAAGGGTGGGTGGCGTGGGTACAAAATGCAGACTTGTTGCTGACTATTGGCATCTGAAAAGCTTATTTACTCATTCATATTTGAAATCTGACAGAGACAATTACTGTGGTTGTAATCAAGCTGCTATACTAGAAGCATATTTTGAAATATTATAGCAAAAAGCAATGGGGGTACCAGGTAAGGTAAAACCCAAAATAGGGAAGGGATGTCAGGTAGACTTGCCATTTGTTTGAAACTAATAATTACACAAGGTATGAGCAGTTTAATAAGAAATTGTGGATTTTCATTCTCCCACTATTGTTATTAAAGTCACTGATCAAGTTATCCGTTGTTTAATGGAATAAACGGAGATCATAACTCCTTAACTAAAAAATATAAACCAAACCTTGCTACCAGATTATAGTTCTCACTCTAGTCATCAACCATTGACAGTTCTCATGATTTATTTTTAAGTAAAATTGCCAAGTCAGAAAATGTTCACTATTTCAATTAACAAATCTGTGAAAATGACAATTTATGCTTGACCACTCTTATGTGCACAAACAAGCAGGGTGGTGCATAAAGCAACAAAAAGGAGACTGTGCTCTAAAAGTGTTTAATTTTATTGTAATAATATAAAGATAAGTAACTCACATAAAAGAAGGCGAAAAAGCTATTTTGACAAATTCAGGCCTTCATTATATGTCCACATCCCTTAAGAAACAGCAATAATTGGACCCTGGGCTGTTCTTGGGGTGGGATGATTCTTCTCTATTTTTCCAAATGCATTATTAGTTCTGTAAAAAGGAGATAAATACAGATTTATTATCTTGTTGTCTATGTTTATTAGATCCAAGCAGTGGCATAGATATCCATAAGGCTGGTTTCCCTTGGGAGAATCAACACTTGATAATGTGGTTAATTGTGGGGATATGCGATGGCTACCCATAAATAACAATTATATAATATATTTTGTTACTTTCCAGGTGCCTTGATCAGAATGACTGGGATTTTCAGAAGTCTGCCAAGGTTTTCACAGAGTTACAAGTAAGCATGATCATTGTAAGGCCAGACAAAGTTGATAAGTCTGATAAGTGGGTTAAAGAGCAGTGACTCTATAAACAGGTCTTTAGAATAAATTCATTGTTTTTATTAATAATAATAATTATTATTATATTTCATATTTTATTTAAGTTAGGTGGAAATGCTAAAATCTCAGCTTCGTATAATGTAGAGCATATAAACGACATTTAAGTCATTCCTATGTCAGTTATAAGTTTGTCCCACTTACCAATTGAAATCAGTACCTAATGCTTTTTTTTTCCATCTGAAAAAATAAGAGAAGCTTATTTCCTCAAAATTAGGGCTGGACAAGTCGCATGCTGGTTAACCAACTTCAGTTATTCATTTAGTGTAACCTAATGTAGAAAACTTCAAGTTAAAGTAATGAAAAGAGTCTAAAATCCTTAAAAAATATGTTCTGCAATTTCAATTAAAAATACTTAAAAATATTTAAAAATACAAAGTTAAAAGGATAATCTTAAAGTATGATTTTTCAGATATGTAGCAAAATTAAAAATATTGATTAAAGAAATGTTTTCATTTGAAAATTTCAGCAAAAAGGAGCCATCCCTGCAGAGGCCTACTTAAAACCACAGTGACAACATTTTTAGGCCTTTCAACAAGGAGTATTTTAACCTAGTACCTACACTTTTGCTGGTTCTACCTTGTAAGGAAGCTAGGTGAAGTAGCTGATTGGTTTTGTTATATGTGGGGATTCTGCTTAGGTGACTCTATTAAGACATACCAGTACTGTACAGCTGTATTATTGAAGGCTAGATTACAAAATTTCTGTACAGACTGGATTGTTCAGCATCAGTGAGAACTAAAGGGCACAAGACATATCCATTAGACTTGGTTTTTATTAATGTCTTCTGCAATAAGGATATTTTCTTATCTTTTCTCTTTCCTTTTTATGTACAGACACAATGTGTGTGGTCATAAAGCTATCAGCTGTATCTGTCTTGACCATCATTGTTGCTGAAAGTGTTGCCATGAATTTTTTGGTTGTGAATACAATAACGGGAAAACTATTACTTGTTATTCTTAGAATTAGAGGAAAGATGAATGGGACTAAAATTCATCTTGAGTTTGAAAACTGGCCTGAACACTTCATTTAAAGTTTATGATTTTCTTTTCTTTCTATGGGTCTGCAGCCTTGTGCTTGTTATATTTTTTAACATCCACAGAAACAAAAGCACACGATTCAAAATTGGTGGTGATTATGCTGCTTGACATAAATAACATTGCATCAGAATTTACAAAAAGTATATCTTGTGCATTGTCTTCTTAAATACAAAGGGAAGACTTGCATGAATGAATCATAGGACTGAAGTGCAGATCAAGTTTGAAAACAGCCAGATTAGTTTTTTTTTTTTTTTTTTTTTTGTCACTTTTCCATGTTTACAGTGTCAAACAATGTCTGTCAGTATGTTAGCTTAAGTTGATTTGTTTTTAACTTTCATGTAGAATGGTAGATTTTTTGGGGACAGTAAAATGTCCTTTTTTTTTTAAAGAAGTTTGCAACAATTAAAATGCAATGTGGAACATATTTTAATGCAAAGTATTTTGTTTTTAAGTAGAAAAAATGACATAATCCTTAATCTTGTCGTTAAAAATTGATTTCAAATTATAAACAGTAGAGAAAAACCTTAACAATTACTCTGCTCCTGTGTATATAGTTTTGCACAAAATCTATTTATGTGAATACAGTGTGGCACTGTGTAGCACTAACAAACTAGAACACATTTTCAATAGTCGAACAGTTTTGATGAAGTATCAGATAGAACTTTTTTATAAAGCAAAAAAAATATATATACACAGATTTGTATTGAGTATTTTATGGTTTATGTTCACTGCTTCATTTAAGGTTGCCCTAATGAAACTTATTAAAGATTCTTTTTTTTTCTTTTTGTACAGAAAATAACTATGTTTGTAATTCATTCATATGTTGTATATTTTATGGGAGGTTTTGTTGTACATAACTCATTGTTACAAATGTGTTTGGTGGTACTAGTTCCTTGATTCATTAATTCTGTTAAAAAAAAGTGCCAATGTAAACATATTTATTTAATAAACAAAAATGGATCCGATGTACATTTTCTTGATACTCTGTTGGCAAATGTTGTTGAACCATTTACAAAGAAAGGAGTAAAATAGTATGTTAGAAGCATGCATGAAATTTTCCAGTAGTATTTTGAAGCTCTTTATGGAAGATGGAAATTAGCCTCTAGCTTTATTCACCCTTGGACATAAAAATGTCCAAGATTCACCTTAAGATTCAGTAGCTTCATTGTTCATCAGTCCACAAGTTCTGTTAAGGCCTCATTTCAAGAATGTCACAAAATTCTAAATTCTCCTACTTATTTGATGGCCTTGTTGAAACTTCATACTGATGATTGGAGAAAAAGACATTCAGTGAACCTCCATGTAATATTAATGATGAACTAAAGAACTTCTTGATCAGCATTTTGACATTTGAAACTTCTCAAGACTGAGATGATGAACCTAAGCTAAGTAACTTCTGTTCACTAGGTCAACATTGTTTTATTTAGTATTTTTCAGTACAGATTTAGTGATGTTTAACTAATTATGGTTAAAAAGGAAGTTTAAAAAATTTCCCGATTTTTGTAAATTTTGAATTTTCAGTTTTGTCAAGGTTAAGAGAAAAAGTGTTATTGAAACCTCAACAAGAAAACTAATAAAAATTTTGTTAATATGCATACTTATATTGTCCTTTTCTGTGTTTGAGTTTTGTTTTAAGATACTTGCCAAGAAGCTGGGCTATTTTTCATCAAGATATGAAAGCTTCTCTTGGTGTAAAAACAAACAAAAAAATCTGTAAGGATGAAAATTGTTTTAACAAATCAGGGCCCAGTTTCATCAAGGCTGGATAGGCTATCCTGTGGATAACACTATCCATGGTGTTAATTTCTTCTCCATAGGATAGCGCTATCCATCCTTAATGAAACTGGGCCCTGATTTGTTAAAACAATTTTCATCCTTACAGATTTTTTTGATCAAGACTGAAGTTTGGCAAAAGCTTTTGTTCAAGAATATATTCAGAAAAATGTATTTTGTTTAATTATGCCATTTTATCTATTTAATAAGTTCAGCCTTTTTTAAGTTTGATACAAATTGTAAACTCTATAGACCTGAAGAAAGATGAATATGCTTAAAAATTTTGTTTGAATAAAGTATCATCTGGTAAAATGTGCATATACAAGCACACTTCTTCAAATAAGAACATCATTTTACTGCGACCTTTGAAAATATCCACAACATTTTTTGCCGTAGCCTCTAGGGCAATCTTGTCAACATTTAAAATGGCATAATTTTTTATGAAACTGTTTGGGTTTCTTGAGGTGATGTGATACAAGTCAAATATTTTAACATTTCAGTCCAACTCTAAAAAGCAGACGTCAAATAATATAAGACATAAACCGATCCATTTCACTTTTATTGTAATATTCACCTGGTCATTTGGTATCTCCCCCTACCTATATAAAAAGCACTGCCTAATCTATTTATGAAATAATTACAGCTTAGCTATATATTGGTAAAAATAATTAAAAACAAAAAGCTTTTATTACAAATATTTTACCTGTTCTAAAATCGCTAGAAATTTCTTAATTCTAGCAGTTTATTGAAGATCACAGCAAAACATTTAGCACATTTGTAGCAAATTAAAAGATATATATATATCAAGCAACCACGATCAAAATACTTTTCATAAATAATTTAAAAAGTTTAAGGCAAAAGGAAAGCTAAATTGTTTTTCTTCAAATGAATTGCACTCTCTATGGACAAAATGCAAAGTGAATTTTACATAAGACATCACAGATATCAACATTAACTGATACTCAATATGTGAATTAATATTATGTATATTATACAAAGTGGCCAACAATGCAACTTTCATTACTGTCAGTTAGGAGGGATGGCTTTCAAATTTCCTTAAAGCTTTAATCTGGTACTAAATATACAAATTACTGGACAACAATTAAAGTAACCTAATATGTACAGGCCCGTAGCCAGGGGGGTTCGAAAGAACCACCCTTTTTGCTGGGAAAAGGTCCACTCTGGGTAAAATTTGACCTATGTACTTGAGGATTTTATGGTAAAAGGTCCATTTTTTCAGAAAACAACCCCCCCCCCCTCTGAAATTGCTAGCTACGGGCCTGATGTACCTAAAATACCAGTAGACATAAACTCAACTGGAAATGTAAGTGGGATAAAGATATGATAGATAGGAATATTAAACCAGACTTCAGCAAGCTGCTGATCAGCTAAGTGCTGACACTGATGTTTTCTGAAACCCCCTCCTATTTCATTCTCTCCATTCGCAAACACACACATGCAAACACACACACACACATGCACACACTTCATGGTCACTCGCACACACCTGGGGAGGGAGAATTTTCACTCTTGTACTGTTAAATGAGAAGTGATGGGGTATTAAGGTCAATCACGATCCAGTTGACTCCTCATTCTGGCACGAGCACCCCTCCTATTAAAGTGGCGGTAAACAACGACAAAGATGATGATGAAAATGGCCCCAGCAATCACAACCCCTATGAAAATCCACACTTTGTAGTCTATCTGGAAATCTTTATTACTTGGTTTCCCTGAAAAAGGTTGCAGCACAATTTAATATTTGTACCCTGCATAAGTTCATGTAATGTTGTATTTAATAATATGTGAAATATCTATAATATATATGGCATCAATTTATACATAAAGCATGTAACTCTGAATAGACCTGCTGCACTATACCTTTGTCCTTGGGCTTACTTCCCAGCACTTTCAAGCAAGGAGACACACTGGCTGAGGCTCTCTCTCCTCCTGGCTGTGGGTCCTTGGCTGTACCCCACAGGATCAGTTCATACCACAGCAGTTTACCTGAAAATACAATCTTATATATACATGTATTACAATCATGGCACACATAACAGAAATAATCTGGTAATGACATTATGTAAAGTCCTTACTATAAAATAAGGGGTATTTTGTGATTTTTTTTTCCATCAACCACATCACCTTTTGGGTAACATTTTACTGTTCATTCAATTTTAAATCAGCGCTTATTTCCAGAAAAATATACAATTGTCTAGACATTGCCTGCAGGACAAAATGTATTCCCTCAAGTCCTGCATACCCGGACCTTGTACATGTAACAGATGCAATGTATGTGAGCTTTTTCATTTTCAAATGTATCCATTTGTTATTCCATATCTATTCATTTGGCATTTAATGTGGAAATTTCAGAATGAAGAAGATCGTCTTTATTAGATCTGAATCTCTGGCCATATTTTAAAATTATAAAAACTGTACAGCATTTAATAAGAGAAACACCTCATTCTTCATATTCTCATTCTTAGCAACAAAACCTCCTTAAAGTTATATTTTATATCAATATGACCTTTACCTGGACTGGTATTGTCAATGGACAGTGTCCAGTTTCNCTTAAAGCTTTAATCTGGTACTAAATATACAAATTACTGGACAACAATTAAAGTAACCTAATATGTACAGGCCCGTAGCCAGGGGGGTTCGAAAGAACCACCCTTTTTGCTGGGAAAAGGTCCACTCTGGGTAAAATTTGACCTATGTACTTGAGGATTTTATGGTAAAAGGTCCATTTTTTCAGAAAACAACCCCCCCCCCCTCTGAAATTGCTAGCTACGGGCCTGATGTACCTAAAATACCAGTAGACATAAACTCAACTGGAAATGTAAGTGGGATAAAGATATGATAGATAGGAATATTAAACCAGACTTCAGCAAGCTGCTGATCAGCTAAGTGCTGACACTGATGTTTTCTGAAACCCCCTCCTATTTCATTCTCTCCATTCGCAAACACACACATGCAAACACACACACACACGCACACACTTCATGGTCACTCGCACACACCTGGGGAGGGAGAATTTTCACTCTTGTACTGTTAAATGAGAAGTGATGGGGTATTAAGGTCAATCACGATCCAGTTGACTCCTCATTCTGGCCCGGGCACCCCTCCTATTAAAGTGGCGGTAAACAACGACAAAGATGATGATGAAAATGGCCCCAGCAATCACAACTCCTATGAAAATCCATACTTTGTAGTCTATCTGGAAATCTTTATTACTTGGTTTCCCTGAAATAGGTTGCAGCACAATTTAATATTTGTACCCTGCATAAGTTCATGTAATGTTGTATTTAATAATATGTGAAATATATATATATATATATAGCATCAATATATATGGCATCAATTTATACATAAAGCATGTAACTCTCAATAGACCTGCTGCACTATACCTTTGTCCTTGGGCTTACTTCCCAGCACTTTCAAGCAAGGAGACACACTGGCTGAGGCTCTCTCTCCTCCTGGCTGTGGGTCCTTGGCTGTACCCCACAGGATCAGTTCATACCACAGCAGTTTACCTGAAAATACAATCTTATATATACATGTATTACAATCATGGCACACATAGCAGAAATAATCTGGTAATGACATTACGTGAAGTCCTTACTATAAAATAAGGGGTATTTTGTGATTTTTTTTTCCATCAACCACATCACCTTTTGGGTAACATTTTACTGTTCATTCAATTTTAAATCAGCGCTTATTTCCAGAAAAATATACAATTGTCTAGACATTGCCTGCAGGACAAAATGTATTCCCTCAAGTCCTGCATACCCGGACCTTGTACATGTAACAGATGCAATGTATGTGAGCTTTTTCATTTTCAAATGTATCCATTTGTTATTCCATATCTATTCATTTGGCATTTAATGTGGAAATTTCAGAATGAAGAAGATGGTCTTTATTAGATCTGAATCTCTGGCCATATTTTAAAATTATAAATACTGTACAGCATTTAATAAGAGAAACACCTCATTCTTCATATTCTCATTCTTAGCAACAAAACCTCCTTAAAGTTATATTTTATATCAATATGACCTTTACCTGGACTGGTATTGTCAATGGACAGTGTCCAGTTTCCTGTTGGATCTTCTCCCCAGGACTGGACAGTAGTGAACACCCAGTTCAAGGTGCCTGCCCGGTGGTCATTGGGTCTTGCTTCCAACAATCGTGACACTGTCCCTTTGGGAGAGGTCAGGGTAACACTGAGACCACTGAAGTCATCTGTTGTCAAGGCAACCCTCACCTGGACATGCTCCAGGCTGTTGACCTCTTCTGGGTTACCATGACAACCTGTTATATTCCGCTGGAAGGTCAGTGGGGCTCCACTGACAAAATCCCTAGAAAGATTTTTTCAAAATAGCAGTGCATGTAAAACTTTCCTTTTGCCACCTTCAACATGCATTTTCTATTATTACCTGGACATCACTCCATCACTCTTTATACTACAATCATTTTCAGCACTCTTTTCCTTTACTTACTAGGTTTGAGTGGACTGTTACACACAAAATATCTATCAATTTTACTTCATGAAAAATAGGTATGTTGCCAGAGAAAGTATTTTCTATTTAAAATGATTCACTTTACATATACACAGCAGAAATCCCACTGGGCATTTTCAATTTTTTTTACCAAGGTCTCATGGAAACACACTGTGGTACACACTTAACATCCAACCCAGACAGCAGTGTCCATCATTTGTGAAAATTTGGGAGGCACCACATACCTACCCTTTACTAGGGTCACATATTAATTTTTCACTTGATATTCACAGACATATTTCTTTGGCTAATTCATATCACAATTCTGTGCTGAAGAAAAGTGCACATTATTCATCTGTGGCCCTGGTAGAGGGTAGGCACTACCCATCATTAAGAACACTGTCTAGGTACAATTGTCAGTTGGAGCATTTTAATTTGAAATCACTTATTGTGCTAAACCACCAGATTCACTTTATATCAACAAGGCCCACTTGCCAGTCCCATAGTGTGTCTGTCAACCAGCTCCTGAGCAACTGTCAACTGTAGTATAATAAATTACTCAGCTTATATTTGCATGCTCTACCTAGCACTGTTATCTCATCAACAATGTTTGTCTAACCATCGACTAGATATGCTCCAACCAGTTACTATTCCACATAGTCTGTCACTAGCTACTAAACTTACTCTCCAACTGGCTGTATATTACTGGTACACATCTGCTGTTGTCCCACTGCTGCAGAATCCCAGGTCTTTGCTATGCTTATCATCTTTGTGGCATCCAGCAAACCAAAACCAAACATGTGGCTCACTACATTACAAGAGAACAAGTGATGTGCCAACACAAAACATTACATGTAATACAAAATTATAATTTTAATTTATCAAGACACTGCATGCTGTCTTATTTTTCAAAACACATTTTGAACTTTTCTTTCTTGAACATAAAAAATGCATCTTGTATGACAAATTGGCAATTACTTTTGATATATGTAGTATGTATAAGTACCATGGAATCCAGCTCCATTGGTCTGCCAGTCGCCACTACATGCTGCCTCTGGGTTGGAAGATCGGGCTAAAACATGCTGCACATCTCTCCACGTTAGACTGGGACTGAAAAAGATGTGTATTATTCCAAATCCAACACTTATCATTTTACCAACCAAGTTCACATGATAGTACTCAAAACTGTCACACATAATTAATAGTTTTTTTAATATTGTCTGCAATGAATATCAAGAACGAAACCAAACTTACATTTTGCAATTTTCATTTCAGAAATTAAGCTATTTCACTGCAACAGCACATTTTAATTTCTTGTCATTTACTTCAACAAAAGCATCACTATCTACAATGTCAAAGTGAACTCACTTGCAGCCCAGGTTCTGAATATGAGGTATACATTAATGTGACAAAACATGCAAATATGGGTCAACTTGGCTCCAAGCAATCACACAAAGTGTGATGGCAGTTGGATATGGTGGCTGGATTCATATGTGTCCATAAGTGTAAGCATATCCTGCTATTATGTTTCATGTTCCTGTGCCTTCATTTCACCAACTGCCCAAACAGTGGAACATGGCAGGATACAAAGTCAATGTCTATCAATAATCAACTCTAAAAACTTGTTTCACCGCCAGAGAAAAAAAAATATGTGCACAAACACTGAAATTACTCTATACATACACTTTTATGGTCAATAAATAAGTGAAATATTTATTATCTTATTTTTGAAAATCAGAATTTCACCACATTTGTTGGGATGCAGCTGGTTGTATTCTCCTAGCAGCTCATGCATGTTTCTTACAATGCAGTAAATGTTATGTGATAAGCAAAAAAGGGATGACATATCAATCCAGCCACGATTAATTAACCACTATCTGAAACTCTTAAAGTTTTTACTGACTTCAAACATTAAAGCAATCGCATCTACTGCAATGCTCCAATGGACTTACTTGGCTTCAAGTGCTAAAGCAATCACACCAGCAGCAACAGATGCAGCAGCAGAGGTGCCAGAAAAGTTCCCTGTGCAACTATTCCCTGCTGAAGTTGTGACCTAGAATATAAAAGTAAATTGTTGAATTAATATAGTAAATTTACTTCTAGTAAATGCAATATTGATCAATTTTACTATAATTAGAGTCTGCAAACAACATAAACCATGGTAACTTAAGTTATAATCAAAGATAAAGCAATTATTGCCATAAATCAACTAACAGAAGCAAACCCTCACAAACACACTCACAAATTATAAGCCATTTTAGAGGAAAACCAGACTTACAATACTATGTGTGCTTCCTAGCTGCCTGCTATATGCTGTTGCCATGGTTGCACTACAGACCTCAGCATATTGCGGTATGCTACCGTCACTCTGAGCCCCAGCTATAGGTATGGTGTATATACTACCTACATAGCCATCTGTTCCGCAGTTGTCAGCTTCACCGCCATTACCAGCAGCCCACACATAGATATGCCCCTTACCTTCTCTGCCCTGGAGATTTACACAATATACACTCATTTTTTTATAAAGCATATCGACTTTCTTCACCACTGTTACAATAAAACATAGTCTATAATCATCACTGATGTAACAAATACAATTACCACTGTGACTACAAACAGCAGCACAAAAACACATCATCACTGTCACAACAAACACAATCAATTTTATCACGGAAATTTCCAAAAACACAACCAAAATTGTTATAATAAACACTATTACCACTATTGATAAACACAACAAACAAAAGATTTTACTGTCACAACAAACTAAATCACCATTACCATATCAAGCACAATCATAACTGTCATGACAACACACGTTCTGAATTAATTTTTTATATCACCTGTAATAAACTTACCTCCATGATGCCATCCTGTAGAGCCAGCTGAGCCAGATTCTCTGGGGCATCCCAGGTCTTGCCATCATCATTCACCCCCCAGCTGTTGAGGTAAATGTCTGCAGAGTTGGCCCTGGACTCCTGGTAAAGTGTGGCTGCTTCTAAGGCATCAAAGGTCTCCTTCGCTTTGTTGAAGAACTTTATAGCTGGGATGAACAATGTCCAGTGCAAAGAGTTAAACATTGCCATACTGCTAACTAATGGCAAAGACAGTGTTAGTGAATTTGCCCATAGGGGCATGTAAGGAAAAGATGATATGATAAGAGAATATTGTTTGCCTTATTTGTGTTTTCCATGTTTAAATTCCTGTGGACATTTGAAGACAAACTTTATTTCTTCACCACTTTCAAAAATATGTAGATAGACACATTTCTGTTATGTAGATAGATAGCTAAAATGAAGTATAAACAGAATATTCAAATAAAAAGATAATACCATGTTTACTTACCTCCAATTTTAGCATTGTATGCCACTCCTGTTCCACACACACTGTTGTTAGCTGTTGCTGCCACTACACCTGCACAGTGGGTGCCATGGCTGGGGAGAAAACAGACATAGACACTGAAGATGAGTAGGTAAAACTTGCATATATGTTTTTATGAAGCCTATAA